GCAATGGACTCACTGGCCCGCACAAGGAAGCTGCCATCCTTGCCTATTTTGGAGAGCAGGTCTTCGGCTCTGGAGCGAGTGATGTTGCCGTGGTACCAGCACTGATCCATGGCTGCAGCTGGAGGAAACCAGAATGCCAGTACAGGAGCTGCCAGAGCTGCCTCTGTGTCTGTGTGTAACGATCAGGCAGCTCCAGCTCACCAGCTTCCTGTTTCAGTAGTACAGAGAGGGAAAGGAAACTCGGCCGCGGAGAACTTCCTCAACTCAAACAGCTCAGAGAGTGAGCATGACACGTTCCTGCAGCTCCTGCTCTCTCTCCATGCTGCAACAGAAGCGACTGGTGAGCCCACATTCCCTGCCTTTCCTTTCATGTCTCTGTATTCTGCACCAAAACCCCACATGGGGGTCCCTCCTGCTCCCTCACTAATTCAGTCCCACGGGTGTTGGTGGTTCACCCTCCTATTTATGGTCTCTTGCCAGACCCTCTGTGTTTCCATTTTTTTCCTGTCCGTCAGTCCTACCATGACAGGTCTCCATGGGGAACAAATAAATCCCAGACTGGCTTGCAAACAACCTGTGCATTAGAATCCTTAGCAACGACTGCCTCATTCCAGCATTGTCTGCTCCTCACATCTAGCTAGGGGTTCAGCAAGGGACTTGAAAGATCCAAATAGTAATAATAATGATAACAATAACAAATTATCTCCAAATTATCTCTGTGCACAAAAGCAAAGCAAGATTTGTTTGGAGAGTTATTGACAAAAGTTCCCTGTCAGCCACTGTGAGATAGGTTTAAAGAGTCCTTCCAACTCTAAATTGCCAAAGGTGGGACAGAGCAAAGTAATTTTTGGCAACCTGCGTCAGAGAGGAGAACTGGGACTTTCACTTCCCTTTTCTTTGTCTGTACATCTGTCTCTTGCCTAGGCTCTGTGCTGCGTGCACAGCGCTGCACCTCCAAAGGAAAGCAACAAGGCATGCTTGCAACAGGCAACAGTGTGGCTGCAGGAGCACTGCCTACATGGCAACTTTGGTTGCCTCTCCTCCAGCTACTCTGCCTTTGAAGACAGTGCTTCTGCTCACCCACATTTGAGCCGTAATCCACAGCAGCAGCCAAATGGGACTGTGTGTCAGGAGAGTCCCCATGCAAAGCACACACAGCTCTGCACAGCCTTCAGCTCCCAGAGCCAGAAGTGCTGCGGACCACACACAGCATACAGGAGGGCTGCCCTCTCACACAGCAGGCAGAAGAAAGCAAAACCAGTATCTGTGGGCACTGAGCAGGAGATGGAAGCAGTACATCCCCATCTGCCTTCCTGGCACTTTCAGTTTTCCAGACATTGACTCTACAGCATCCAGCTTGATCTCAGCTGCTAGGATTAAACTGAGTGCACTGGAAATTCAGAACTGCGCAACCCTGCTAAATGGGCAGAACTGCAATATGCAGGGCTTCCTGTCCACGCTGAGCAAGCACTGTCTGCAGACCAAAATTAGCTCAGCAGGACCTGCCCTGCAGCTTCACTCAGACCTACACAGGCTTTACAAGACAGACTCCCACAGTGCCTAAATAAAGTCTGACATTGAATTAGCACTGAAGTAGCTAATTAGCATTGAAGTAGCTCTGAATGGACAATAGCTGTCAGTGTGGGTGCAAACCCTATTCTTCCTACTGAGAAGAGTATGTGTGTATTGCAAAGAGGCAAAGAGGTTGTGTAGCTCCTCTGATGGTCCTGCCTGGCCACAGTGTGCCGTTAGCCTCACCTATGCCGCCTCTTTGGGATGTCTGGTGCTCACAGCAGCTTCTTTGGAGCACTGTCATAGCAGGAAGCAGAATGGCTCTGAATGTCAAACAGTTGCTTGGCTTTATAGTGCTCTCCATGCAACGGATCCATATGATGGCACATGGTGGGCAGAGCTGATGTACAGAATGAGTACTGCTGGAAGGACTCTACCCTTGTAGAGCTTCTGATCTACTGTAAGTTAACACAAGGTAACAGAGAAACATTAGTCCTGGTCAACCAGCTGAAGGACTAATCAACTGGATTCCCATCCATCCCTCACTGACTTCAGCTTTTAGGACACTGCAGCTATTTCTTCAAAACGTGTACATCCCTGCTCAACCACGCTCAACTCACTGGAGACATCAACAAGGGGATGGGATCCAAATGCACACAATGCTTATGGCTGTAAGGTGTGCAGGTTGTGTATTTCTAAAGAAAGCACAGGACAGCTGCTCAAAAAGTGCATCCTAATCCCCCAGCACAAAGAGCTCTGTGATCCCTAGTGGTCAAGTGCAGCACTGCCTGAAGAGGAAATGGCATCTAACTTCCATCTCACAGTGCTTACATGTGAGTGCTGGAGAATGAATGATTCTTGTGTGGTCAGAGTATGTAGGCATGCACACCCCGAACTATCAGCAACCTTACTCCCAAAGGAAAGCAGTCTGTCCCACACAGAGTCAAGAGACAGTTCAGCAAGTACTTCTTTCTCCTCACGTCCGTGTTGGAGAAGGCTGGTGAGCAGATCTGAGGATGAAGAGGGCAGAGAAGGAGAGTGGAACTGTTTGCGGTGCAGTGAGTGCAGTGATCACATCCAGTGAATACAGTGCACATGGTGATGCTACAGGGGTAGCCTGCAAGTTTACACAAGGAATAGGGTGCACTTCAAATAGCTGTACTGTCATCCCACAGCTGGGATAAAGAGCTTCCCTTGTAAAACAAAGGAATAATGGATACAGCTGTCAGGCAAATTCAACCCAGACTCAACAGCAGCTATATGATAACTGCAGCAGCAGTATTTCACTTAAACTCACATTAGAGAATGAGACCACAGCCAAAGCACTGACACACATTATGATGGCTGATCAAAAGTTACACTGCTCACAGTCTACAGATGGAGCAAGCATTATTTTTTCTCATGTTGGCACATTTTTCCAAGCTTTCTTTCAGATGCTGCAATCAATACTTTATCTGACCAGTGTTTGCCACAGATGGCTGGGCAGCATTCTATCAGCTGGCTGCAAACTCCCCAGCCTGCCCAGAGCCAGTGCATAAGTATTGTCTGTAGCAGCACTCAAGTTTTACAGTGGTCACCCCAAAATCCTACCTGTATCCAGGCTGTGTAGTTCTTCAATAATGGCACTGCTGTGCTTAACCACATGAAAAATGCCCAGGAAAGGTATTTTTACATCATGAAACAAAAGGATTTCTTAGTATGCCTGACACGGGAAGCTGAATTAATAGGAGAGCTGTTAAGCTTTGCTGAAGTCTAACTACAGGATTCCATCACTAGGCACCAACAGGCTCCTGGCCGCTAAAGTGTATTCAGACTCCAGCCTACATCTAAGAACCAGATGAATAAGAGTCATTAAGTATTGGCTCATTGAACCACTGTGTGCTTTGCTGCTTCTGCAAACTGACACATTACCAACCTGCTGCTTGGGAAGGGCTCAAGAAATTGTAGGTATGTTTGGCAAGGCCACAAGATCTCTTCACTCCTTCGATACTTGCAGCTTCCAGGTACACTGAAACAAACCCAGATGAATGAGAAGAACCAGGAGACCTTCTTTTTCTGTCTCTGAAAACTATAAGTAATGAACAGCAAAGGGGGATGCTGAAAAGCAGAGGCTCACATAGCTAAGCAGTGACAGAGCAAAGGACTCTGCAGGACCTGCTAGAGCTCCCCAAAGCAGATGAGAACACTGTGAAAGGGAGGTATTTTTCTGCAACAGTAGAGCAAACACATGTTTTCCTTGGGGCTGTTCCACACATGCACACACACAAAACACAGCAATCAGCAAACAAGCTCAGGCTGGTTTGAAAATAATTTTTCCAGAGGCACGAGCAAAGCTGCCCTGGCTCCACTCACTGCCCTTCAGCGCTATTCACCTCTGGTCACTTGTCTGCTCACAGCGTGTCGCCTCCTTCCAAACCTCAGTGTAGCCTCAGAATAGTCTCCCTCTTAAAAATTTGGGCTGTTCCCTTCTAAAAACTGCTGAAGATCTGTCTACTCTTGAAAGCACAAGCACTCCCATGCTCCTCTGACATTTACATCTCTGCCATTTTCTGGAAGCGAGGCAATGTTATTTGTTTCACACACTGTCCCCTTGCTGGTAATACTCTCTAATAACAGTCTCTATAATAACAGTCATGCTTGCAAGACATTGTTTTGTCAGAGATAACAGCAGTTACTGCATGGATCAAAGCTTAGCACTTCCATTAGAAAGACCAGCAAGTACTTCCCCTCCTGACTATAAATTGGGAGCTCCCTCTGCAGACCCGTCCTGATCCTGCAGGTCTGTTAGTGCCATTTCTGCCATCTGCCCGTGGGGCTGGGGGTGCTGCATAGGCCCCACTCTCACTGTCTGTGCAAAGGGAACCACTGAAACACACAAGGCTGTGGTTTTGGTACACGTGAGAAGCTGTAGTTACCAACTGCAGCACAAGCAAAAGGGCAAATAAGCAAGAACATACAGCATGGGAAGTAAGGAGAAGGCAAAGTTATGAAGAAGTCCCTAAGGGGCCTGGGAACTCAGCAAGCAAACTCCAAATCCAGTACAGAAGCAGGCTGGGAACATTTCAAGACGATGGCATTCCACAGCCTCCCTGAAAGCAGAAGGCAGCCAGCCCTGCCAATAGAAGGCTGGATGGAGCTGTCAGCAAGCACTGCAACTGAAAGGAGTGCACCCAGCAAGAGTCAGAGCAGTCTTCTGAAGATAACAGCATACGCAGGGCAGCATGCCCAGTGTCCTCTGCAGCACTTTGCCACCACTTGTAAATACAGCTCAGCTAAAATAGCTGCCCTCCATCCCCATGCAGTCCCTGAGCTATCAGCATGTGCACCTCTATCTGAGCCTACCGGAAGCCTTAAGGTGAGACCCCCCGTATGAAGGTCATACTTGCCTTCAGCATGTGATTGTTAAGATGGCAGCCAAGGGGGAAGGACGAGAAGAGGAAAAGGCAATAGAAAACAAGACCAAACATGTTTAGTTTTAGTATGTTTAATAGACTTTGTGATATAAGCATGCTATAAGACAATGCCCAGCCGGCAGCGCGGGAAGAATACAAAAATTCTTTTGCTGAAAGAGAGCTGAGAGTGAAAAGAGCATCAGCAAAGGTGTTTTTCCAGAAGAATCCCAATGAAAAAGCTCAAGACTCAGAACTCAGAAGGGAAGGCTTGCTTCAAAGTGAACATTACAAAGATTATCTCTTCACATTGTTTATGGATCCCATATTCAAAGAGGCAAGAGAACAAGGGCGAGCCATCTGGCCCAATCCCCATGTACTGCAGATCTGAGTAAGCACACAAGCCCTTAAAGAGGATGCTTGGCTTTGTCCAGTGTGCTGGATTTAAAGGGCTTTTGTTGAGGTAAATTCCCAAATCTCTTCGGCCCTTTGGGTCCGCAGGATGAGTGTACAGCAACCAGCTATCTTGGCACCAGACATCAGAGGGAGGAGGGAAGGCAACAATGCTTCCGTGACATCCAGAGGGAGGCTCCACAAGCTTTTCAACCCACTGGCCTTCCTCAAAATCCACCCCGTTGTTGTGGCTGACAGCCTGGATTCTGGCTCCCTTGTTGGTCCTAGCATTGCAGTAGAGCACATTCATGCCACAGCGGTGTACCTCAGCTACCTGGCATTCCCCTGCACTCTCTTTTCCCACAAAGTTCCCCATCTCCCACGTCATCCCATGGTCAGAGCTGATGAAGCAGAAGGTATAAGAGACAGGGTGATGCTTAGGGTCAAGGATACGAAAGGCATAGGCAGGAATCACAAGGCTCCGGGCCTCATTGGACAGCTGTAATCCATGACCTGGTCCCACTGCAAAAGTGGCCCAGTTCTTGTACTCTGTGCTGATGGTGCTCTCGGTGATATCCTGAACAGGGCTCCATGTGTGTCCTTGGTCCACGCTAGTGACATAGCAGAGACGTACCAGGTTGGTCTTTGTCCTGAGCTGGTAGTGCTCAGAGATCTTTCCTGGGACAGCTATGAAGAACAGGATCAGATTCCCCGAGACCTCGTCATAAACAGGACAGGGATTCATGGATCGGTGACCTTCCAGCTGTGCACTGACAATGGTCTCCACGCCGCTCCACTGCCAAGGCAGAGTGAAGAGAGACAAGAGTGAAACAAATACATCCAGGTTACAGCGTGAGGATGCTCAGATAAAGTTACAGAAGAGCTTGAGAACAACTGAGGAGAAGCAAATCTGGAGATAGAGCATGAAACAGGCATCACCAGATGTAAATTAAAAGAAATTAAGACGACTTGGATGATGCAGGACTCACACGCTTTACCAAACAGTTGAGCTATGTCCTTTTTAAATGACTACTCATTGAGGAGCTGATAACTGCATCTCAATGCAGTAGGTGTCTGATGACACTTAAAAAAAAAAAAAAAAAAAAAAAAAACCAGCAACAGTAGTTGAATTGTAAGAAATTCTCATCAATATAGATATGACACAGACGTGCCAGGGTTAAAACATGCTCAAAGACACTTTGCTCTGTTAGTGCTTCTCAGGAAGTCAGCTAGATAAAGGAGCCCACTTCAAGCATACAGCACACTGATAAATCCATTACATTCAGACTCCTACTCCCTCATTTTGAGCGTTACCTAAATGATACAACGCTGCAGGTGCGGTTAGAGGCTGCTTCTGCTAGGCAGACTCCAGCTCTTAAGAGGTCCCTGTTAAAGGATTACTATTCTGTGATAAAGGATTGAGTTAGAAAAAGAAACTTCCCCTCCCCCTCCCAAAAAAAAGCCTTTAATGCATTTGCAAATGCAAGAAATGATTATAAATAGAGTATCCAGCATCCCCAGTCACCCAGCAAGATAACTGTTAACAATAATAACAACTGGGAGATTAATAAAGTAGCCCATTCGCTGGCACAGACAAACCAAATGACACTGTTTTGCGTGGGGAGACTAGCTGTTCTCAATTGCTTTTTAAACCAGAAATTAGTTCTAGGAAGATTAAAAAAAAAAAACAAAAAAAACAAGCCAGCGATTGCTAATTTACTGCTCCCTATCTCTGTGACACTCCTCATTTCTGCTTCCTTTCCACACCTCTGCAACTGCAGCAGGACTTGTGCCCTATGTCTCTCTCTGCTTCTCTGCTTCTACTACAGCTGCCCCACTTAATTTCCCCCACTATTGGGCAATCACGAGGTTGAATCCCAGCAGCTATAAAAGTAAATGCATTACTCATAGGCTATAATTGAGCAGGAGAGATCTGTTTAACTACAACGGAGAGGGCAGATACATTCAAGTCCTTTGGGAGCAGGGTAGCAGTGTAGTTGGACAGTCTCCTCTATTTCCTTACCAACTGGTACCTGAACATGGTGTCTGCCTGGGTTGTACGTGCCTCTGCGCATCACTATGAGCTTGGCATGCTCATCCACCACATCCTCTCGTTCCTCAGCAAATGCCAGGATGATGCTGAAACGTGGCAGGTAAAGCAGGGCTGGAATTCGATAGCTCCACGTGCCATTCCGGAACAACACCTCTTGCTTGAGGACAGGAAACGAAGCCATCGTGCTAAGGGAATGAGACAGAAATGCACTGCATTTTAACCCATGCTCAGCCCAGCAAAGTACAACAGGAACAGATCCCACCACTCCTTGCCCTCCTTGCTCTTTGCTCTTCCTGCTCAGTGTGTTCTGACAGACACTGAAATGTCATTCCTGCTGCTTTCAGTTTCATGCTCTTCTGAAGAGAAGCCACACGTCGCACAGCAGTCAGCAACACAGACCAGACTTCGTCCAGAAACAGCCTGGTTAATCTTACTGGAGCAAAATAAGTTCTCTAAACACAGTAAATGAAAAAGCCGCCTGTGGTTTGTTTCTTCTTAATGAAATTCACAAGCTAAGATCTTTGTGGGTTTGCTTTGTAATTCAAAAGACTGACAATGATCAGGCATTTTAGCATTTTCCCCTCTGAAAAGCATGATTGCCTTTGTTGCTGGTGTTTCCAAAATCCAGAACAGAACTAATGCTTTGCCAAACATGAACTTTGAGCCCCATAAAAACAAGTCACTGAAGCAATCTCTGGCCCTAGCTATGCCTCTATTTAAGGATAGTAAACACAGAGCATGGAAAAAGAAGGAAAACATCCTCTCCCAAAACATCACAAACAGTCTGAAAGATGCCAGCCAGCTGCATCTAAGCTGAGAGTGCCGGGCAAAGCCCAAGGCAGAACAAGAGGATTTATGGACTGGGTACTGCAGGTTTCTAATTGGGACGGGCCACTGCATACCTGAAACATTATATGCTTTGCTGAAACAACATATGCTTTGCTGAAACAAGGAGATCAGCAGTATGGAGCTACTAATGGGTAAGGCGTCAGGAGGGACTTTTGGTCCGGTGAGACTCTTGTCATTCATACAGCAAGTAAGAGACATTAGGGAGCAAGACAGTCACAGAATGGCTTAGCTTGGAAGGGACCTTACAGCCCACCCAGTCCCAACTCCTGCTGTGGGCTGGCTGCCCCCCATCAGCAAAGGCTGGTGCCCAGAACCCATCCAGCCTGGCCCTGAGCATCTCCAGGGATGGACACCCACACTTCCCTGGGCAGCAGTGCCAGGGCCTCACTGCTCTCTTCCTCTCCTTGGATCCACTCAGCTTTCTGTCCTGTTGCACCAAACCTCTCTTGGGAACTGATTTATCCTGGCAAAAACCCATTGGCTGAATCCTGTTTAAGTTCTTCTTTAAGCAAAAAGAAGTCTCTCATATGATGGACCAGAAACTGAAGGCATGAAAACCATGTGCTCAGCATAGATATCAGAGAGATGGGGAGTAAAATGAAAACAAAATTTTAAAAAAAAAAAAAAAAAAAAAAAGAAAATCAGGCCTTAGATCTCTGACGCATTGAGTGGGTAGGATGGCAAGGATAAGATGACAATACAGTATGAGTAAGAAATTGAAATGCCTCCTACCTCAGCTGAGACAAGACTTGCAATGCTGCCTTGAGCACTGAAGATTCCCTGAGATTTAGATAAATAGGAAAGTGCTGTAGTGGTTGTTGGGTGTGCATCACATCCTCACGTTTCTGAAGGCTGTCTTGATAACTCAGGATCTGCACTGTTTCAGCTAAAGCCAGCTTACAGACTGGAGCCAGCCACAGCCCCATGGCTGCTCAGACGCAGAGCCACACGGGAGAGAACTGTCTCAATGGAATACTACTCCCTCCTCATTGCCACTTACAGTACATCAGAGCAGCTACTATACAGAAACATTACCAGGGATCTGATCTCAGCTCTCCATGCAACATGGAAGAAAAAAAGGAAGACCTTCCTAGGATAAATAATGGTGTTGCTCACTGCATAGCAGCACGGGTCTGGCTACTCACACTGATTGCAGCCATGGCTGTGTTCTCGTGGTTCCTGAAACAGAAGTTCATCAGAGCACCTCCAGGCTATTTGAAGGGAGATTATTTCAAGAGATGTTAGTCAGCCTATCTAGTGCAGCACAGGTTCCATAGCTCATGGTGCTATGCTGATATTGTAATCTTTTTGCAGGGCAGGGCAAGAGGGAGGGGGGGAAAAACAAAAAAAAGGGATGAAAAATAAACAGTGGCAGAGATGTAGGCTACACCCATACGTTCTTGATGCAGAGCTGGGAAACCAGTGCCACAGAGGCTGTGCTGCAGCACAGGGGCAGAGAAGCCTAAGGGAGCCAAGTCCCTTCTGCACCGTCCTGCCATCTGCAGGCAGCTCTGCACCGTGCCCTTCACCCCTGTGCTGAGAGATGCTGGGTGAGGGTGTTGCAATATTCATCTTTTACTCTGATTGCCAAATGGGGAGTGAGGGAAGGTGGGATGTTAAAAGACTGTGAATGGCTGCCATAGAAACAAGCCCTGGACACAGCACTTGCAACTGCAGTTGAGGAAAATACTAGAATTACATGACTTTTCCATCTACCCAGAGATTAAATAGGTGTGCGTGTGTACACATCTACGTGTGTGTAGGGAGTACATTAAGTCTGTATGCATATACACACATACAACACATCCATCTGTAGAGAAACTCTTCTATCTTTTTCGTTAATACACTTAAAAATCAGTATTAAGTTCCTTCTGTCTTCTCCATTGGTGGATCATCAAGCAGAGATAAAGTCACAACAGCCTGAGTTACACAGAATTAAAGAGATGCAGAATCTTAAAACAGCTTAGGGCTATTGATATACATACAAAAAGAGCAAAAACTTGTGCTGCTTTAGCTACTGTCCAGCCAGCTGAAAAATACTTGATCTTTCTCTTGACCTCTACCCAACGTCAAAGGTAAAAGCGCCAGCTACGCTTCTCAGAAATAAGAGAGAAGATCATCAACAGAACATCAGATCCTGATCAGGACAGTCACAAGGCGCATTCAGAAGCTCAGACTCCAGCAGCTCACATCAGACAGGCCAGACTATTAAATTGCCAGGGGATGCGTCCTTGAGAAGTGCTCTGTTCAGGGCACTGACATCAACCTGCAGTTCCTTTCCAAAGCACCAGGGAAGCTGCTGCCCTGAGTACTCCATCTCCAGGTAGATGTGGGCAGACAGAGAAAGAAGTGCATGGTGAGGAAAAGGGGGAGTTAAGCTGGAGAAAACCATTACTCAGAACTTGCAAGTTACACAGCTGCAATGATTTCCAAAGAGGAGACTTGTTCCAGTGTGCCAGGAGAGTCAAAATAAATAGCAGTGGGCAACAAAGTGAATCTGTGACGGATTGAGGCCCAGAACAAGCCCGAGCAGCAGAAAGGAATAGCTGCTGGTCGTCCTTGGGAGTATTTATCCTTCCACTCAGTGGAAGGACTCCTCCAAGGCAGCTCATGTGGTTCCTTGGTGGTAGTTTGTTATTGTTTTGTTTTAAATATAGGGGAGAATCGGCCCCTCGTGTGTTTATTTTCTTTAACCCTCTCCAAGAAAAGTGACTAAGCAGGATAACATTTCCACTGGCTTCAGCTTCTGTTGAAAACCTGTCCTTAACACGTTCAGATCCAAGAAGAAATGGCAGTACGTTTGCTCCTGCAGGAATCCAGACAGGGCCCAAGCAAACACACACAAACCTATTGGGAGAGACTGGGGAAAGGCACGAGGAACACAAACAAAAGAACCTGAAAGAGTAAAGCTCAAAACTCAACGAAAGTTCTGCTTTTCAACACAAGCACAAGAAGCCAAGTCCTGCCCTTCTCCATTCAGTATCACACCTGGACTTTCAGCATTTTCCATATAGAAGCATAGATGTCAGCCACACACTATCCTAAAATACTTTTTTTGTTTCATTTAAACAAAAAAGAAAACACTTGAATTGGGATACTGCACAGATGGAGATCAAGACAAGCCATGTTCCTGTTGTACAGGGCTAAGAAATAGTAGACCCAGCCTGCTTCCAAAATATTACACAGTGCATTTCAACGTGCAAGCCTTCCCTCCTAATTAAATGGAATGACTGTGCCTATTTCCACTGAAACACAGCAGCAGAGAGCTCTAGTTCCAGCCTTCTCCTTAGACCAGGTCCTGCACTAAATCTAGGACTCAGCTACTCTTTACAAGCCAGGCAGCACCAACACGTCAGCCTCAATGTCAAGTCAGAAGGAAACGTTATCAGCGAGACCAGTCAAACAACAGATCTTAAACAAAAGGCTCTTTCCAACGTTCAGAATTCAAGACTAAGGGCACTTTAAGGAGTTACTTTAATCCAGCTGTCAACTGGATCAAACTTTTTAACTATGCTACAAACAGAAAGTTTTCTTTGTAGCATGAGCTTCATGCCATACTTAGAAGGGGATTTTTAGCCTTCTCGGTAGATGCTTTCCTAAACAATCCATCAAGTTCTGCTTTCAAAACGTAGCTCAGCCTGGCAACAGCTCCTGTGCTTTATAACATAGGTTTTCTCAGCAGTACAGAGAAATTACATGAAGCAGCTTTGTTTTTCTTTAGCATATGTTTGTTTGTTTGGTGGAGGACTACACACACTCCTTCCTGAACCTCCAAAATGATGTATTTACCTTTTTAGCTCCCAGCAACACCCGCCGTTATGCAGAGAATAAAAAGGAGGTAAACAAAAGGAAAAAGAAAAGGAAATACTTCTCTTCACTTTGTGCCTCCTGGAAGTCACGTCAAAGGTAAAGGGAAAAAAAAAAGAAAAAAAAAGAGAAAAGAAAAACACTCCTATTGAATACAAGAAAAGGGAGGATCACCACACTCTCACCAACTTGTCTCCAACCTGCAAGATTATTTATGTTGGCAGCGATGTCAGCTGTCTCGGATCCCCCGGGAAGAGCCAGCAGCCAGCATGTATACACAAGCTGACATTTAAATAGCAAACCTGCTTTGCATAGAAGGGGAGGTTCCATGTGAGCAGGACAAATGTTAGGGAAAGATTTTTAAGCGTTCATAGTAATTAACGTGTTTCTACCTGCATGGATTGACAGGACTGGGTTGCTGCTGATAGTTACACCATTCAGCATGCTGTCATATCCTGGTCTTCTCGTCCCCTCGTGCTGAGGAGGGTAAAATTCCTTCAATCTCTACGTGCAGACTTGCAGTGCGTCCTCTCATAGAGCTCCTGAGCACCGTGAAAGTTTGCTGAAAGAAGTCAGAAAATGGATATAACAGCGGGTGAAATTGCTGTGTCAACCTAATGCATTCCTCTGGTTGGCTTTACCCACCTCCCATCCATCAGTACACTGTTTTGAGATGAAGAAATGGGTCCACACAGGAATCTCCAGGCCGTAGTACGGGAACAACATGCTGGTGTATGCAGGTGTGCTCCCCAGCAGCTTATGTGGAGGTGCTACCAGTGCCCATCTTCACCCCAGCAGCTGCAGTCAATGAAGCAATGAGCAGGGTTGAGTAGGAGGGAGTGTGAACCTGGGGCCCTAGCATGTGGTGGGAGGCTGAGGGAGAAGAGAATAAGACCATTGATTCTCCCAGGTGTAGCCTGCCTAGCTTAAAGGTAGCACCTACAGCTTCTACTGCTGGGAACAGCCAAGCAAATGCTCTCATGATGTACCTTGAGCTGCTGGTGCAACGTGGAACTGCTGCCGTTGTTAGAGATGGCCTTGCCTTTCCTTTTCCTTGTTGTTTCTCTTGCTTTACTCTCTTCTCTACTGTTTCCATTGCTGCCATTAATGCTTCTTGTCTCTCAATTTACTGGGGGAAAAAAACAATAACAACAATAATCCTGTAAACAGATCTTGCTAGTAATGTAAAAGGACAAAGCAAGGCCTACTCACTTGACAGCAATTGTGATTTTGATCTGTGCAAGCCAAACACAGAGTTGCAAGGGTGTGGATTTACAACCAACCAACTTAATTAAATTCTTTTGTGTTACCATCTTCCCTCTCTCTTGAGCAACCATGCCTCCTTTCTTGTGCCAGTGCTGATGCTCATCTTGCTTTGGCAAGCCATCAGAGGATGTCAGTTTGGCAGAAAACTAATCTAGGGGAAAAAAAAAAAGGAAGGAAAAAAAAAGTGAACAGTTTTCTGCTGGGTCACTGTCCTGGACTGCGTCAGCAGAAGTCAGACAAGCAGCAGGGGAGGGAGCAGGAGCATGGAGCTGTTGACACAAGGAGCAGACTACCTCTCTGTCTGGCAGCTGGCCATTAGAGCACATTAGCTACGTCATAAAACCACACCCCATATTTATGAACCTCACCTTAGCTGGGCAAGCAAAGTATTGCCTGAACTGAGAGACGCAAAAGGAGCCCGAGGGCATTCGTATTTTGTTGTATCTGGAATCAAACAATAGTCAGCACAAGGGAAAACTCCTCAAGAGACAAAGGCATTGATATCCATGAAATAGTAACTTCTAACCTGGAAAAAATCCAGACAAGCAAAACAGGCACCATTAAGAAAGAAGGAAAGACATCGGTAAGGCTGCTAAGACAGTGCCAGAAAGCAAGACCAGTACAATTGCTTTGTGGATTTCACCTTTTTCCCTGCTCCCTGGCTAACGGCTGCGTTGCTCAAGTGGTGTTGTGAGTCACATGCTGCTTCTGCAGTCAGACAACCCATAAAAGCAAGTTTGTTTCATACGCATCACTTTGCTTGGCTCTAGCTTAAAACTGGTTGTCCATTTCTCCTTAGAGAGGCCCATCCCAAATGTGGCTGGCAGCACATGCTGTGGTGGCAACGCTCCGTGCTCTATAGCAGCAGCACCTGGGTTGTAGGGTGGCTGTGCCTCTGGCCACCTCCCAGTCCCCACTGCCCTCACCCTTCCTCCCCAGACATCCACACAAAGTGGGTTTCTCAGTGTAGATCACAGAATCACAGAATCACCTGGGTTGGAAGGGACCTCAAGGATCATGTAGTTCCAACCCCCCTGCCTAGCAGGGCCACCAAACACACACATTCAGATCAGGTTGCCCAGGACCCCGTCCAACCTGGCCTTAAACACGTCCAAGGACGGGGCATCCACAACCTCCCTGGGCAGCCCGTTCCAGGGCCTAACCACTCTCCTTGTAAAGAACTTCCCCCTAACATCCAACCTAAATCTTCCCTCCCTCAACTTGGATCCATTTCCCCTAGTCCTGCTGTTGTCAGCCCTTTTGAAGAGTTTACTCCCCTCCTGGGTGTAGGTTCCCTTCAGGTATTGTGCTAGGCTGGGCTCAATCCCCCCTGCTTCCTTCTGCTATAAATCAGAATCAGTGGCACAGTGAAGTTTAAGATAAGTCTGGGGAGAATCAAGCTTGTCATTTCTGTTATTCCACACTTACTTCATCGCCTTTATGTCTGATTGTTGTAATGAAAACGTTTTTAAAAAGGTTAAAAAATGCAAATGGGGTGTGTGGGTGCATTAATAAGAGGATATAAAAATAATGCAGAAGATAATGTAATGAAAGAATACTGAACAATGGAGCATTTGCATTTGGAGGACCACGTTCAATTTTGGGTGCCACGTCTTAGGAAAGATATAGCAATAGCTGCAAGCGAAGGCTAAGAATTCAGAATCTAATGCTGGCGAGCGTATGTGAAAACAAGTAGGGAAACAAGAGATGTTGCAATTAACAAGAGCAACACACGGTCCATTAAAAACTGTCAGCTATATTTCCTTTGCAAAATGTTTAAACCTGAATCCACTGTCTGTTAAACTGTAAGGAAGGCGGGCAGGCTGGGGTAGTTCTGTGTGATGGCTCAGCTACAGAGCGTGGCGGCTGTCATCAGCCAGCTAACATTAAAATCGAGATGCCCTGTGTGGAGTCAGGCTGTAGGAGAGAGAATTACACTGTTTTGCAAATTTTCAGTTACAACACTATGGGCTGCCCTCCAGGTGTTAGGCAATATGGCATCATTTGTGCAGAACACGAGTCCTGTGGACCTGGGGGCTGACTGCTCTGTTAGCAAAAACAAAACTGAGAAAAAGCCCAAGTAATAATACTGAATCTAACTCATGCAAGCGGTCACTTTCCCAGCAAATCACAGACTGTTAGTATTTCCCTTCCTTGTGGAAAGACTTGAGCAAAATCACAAACATTTACTTCCTCTACCCAAGGAGCACCGCCATGACCCTACCTGGCTGCTTTCTGACCTTCCACAGTGAGCTTTGTGTTCATCATGGGGAACCTTCTGTCCCCTGGGAAAGACAATGTCCAGTGCCTATAATATATGGCATACCTTTCTGCCATTCACTCTTCTCACTGGGACCAGAAAAAGGAATACGTTTTATTTTTGTAACAAAATGGAGGGCAATCTTTAGAAAGCAAAAAGAGACTCGCTGAGATTTACATACAAAAAGAGGATTGTGGAAGCAGGATTTATCTAGTTCTCAAAGTAGCAAAGCGATGAGGAGTTGCTCCGTGACAGCTTGGTTAATTTAATGACAAAAAAGTGCAATAAAACCGGATTCTCTTGCCTTATGTCCCCTCCCAGCTCTGGGGACACTGACAAACAAGTCTGAAGCATGAGGTCCACCTGGGAGTGACTCCTGTGATAGCACGTCCCTCGTGTCCCACTAGCTTGCAGAGCAGGAGTGCACAGTCTGACGGTGACTTTGAGTAATCATTACAAGAGTAATTGCTGACAGCCCTGTATGCCAAGGCCAGGCCCTCAGCTGATATAAAGGGGCAGTGGCATTGGTGGTCAGAAAGCTATGACAACCAACCCCAGATTAACCAGAGCTTTACTGAATGAATATTTGGGTGTCCACAGAGTAGCTAGGGTGTGGGCAAAATACAGTTGCTATCACAAGAAATAGGGTAATGTTACAACCAGTTAAAACAACAGGGCAGTTGGCAAGTCTGGTGAACTTTAAGAAAGAAAAAAAAAGTCATAGGAAAGGCTAGCATTAGCTTCAGCAGGAGATACGATGCTTTATGCCCTTCCATCTGCAGGCTTACAAATAGCAGGTGAGTTGAAGGAGTTCCAGGATGAAGAAAAAGCTGTCTCCTAAGTATAGCACTGCATAGATGTCTGCAGGAGGTGGGGGGTTTTGGTCTTCCTTCGAAGCACTGGGCTCTAAGCTGCTTGCAGAAGAGAGACATTCATTTAAGCAAGCCCACTTGCAAGCACAGCAAATGTAAGCACAACCTGAGTTGGAAATCAAAGTATTTTGGGGGAGAAAATTATGATGCATTTGAATGAACAGTTACAAAAGGCCTTGTAATAAAACCAGCTGGGTCTGCTACGTTCCAGGTGTCCCAGAGCCCAGGTGTGGGAACACACGTGAAATGTAAAAACTGACAGGCTAAAAATAATCACAAGCATGTAGGGTTTGTCATCTCAAATGGCTGGAAATAATGTAAAGCAAGAGCAGTAGCTCGGCCAGTGGGGCTGAAAAGTGTGAGCAAATGGCTTCTGCTGTTCCCACGTATTTGAGTTTGCAGATTTGAAGAGAAGTTTCACCTAGTTTTATACGGGAAGTTTTACAAAGCCCTGTCAGTAAACCTTTGGCACAAGCGGTGCAAAGGGCCTTCAGAACGTGTTTGTACTGACTTACCTGGCTAAAGGGAAAGCTGTTCCTTTAAATTGTTTGCTGTGGCTCTGGAAACTGAGCAAACAAAGTCAGAGGGAAACTTCCCTTTCAAGTGGAACTGTCAGAAGGTACAAGGACTGAAGGACAGAGATCTTCAATAGGACACACCTGCATCGGGATTCAGAGCCGAACTGCAAATTTCTAACAACCTGGGGGAGTTTAGTCCTGATTTGTTGGACACACCTAACCCTGATGGCAAATGAGAGCCTGGTTCGGCCCCAGACAGTCAGGTGAGTAAAATCCTATTCTGGGGGGATGCTAGAAGAGGAGTGGTCTGAGGAAAAAGCCTCAGAAAGGCACAAGTGCAGTGCCTGAGAAAGAAGCGGCTTTGCTCTGCCAGCAAAGTCACCCTGAAGGGACCCCGTGCAACCTGGATGGAGTGCAGCTGAAATGCCGGCTGGTGGAATGGAGGCACTGCTGGCACAGCCCGACAGGCTGCACATCCAGCAGGGAGGAAACCCAGGCAGAAAGGAGGCTCAGACTGCACTAAATGGGCATTAACGTGACCAACTAAAGAGCAAACATCCCCACAGCAATCAATCAAACCGTGCGTCTTTTTCCAGGGGCAGGACAAGCTGTGATTTTTTCCTGGCAAATGTTTGCGTGTGATCTTGCTTTTAAAAAAAACAAAACACAGAAAGAAAGAAAATAAAGGCAGGAAATATGAAAAACAGCCTGTTTTCCTCCTAAGGGCAGGCTGATCTTTCCCTTTAGCTGAGCTGTCCTTTCTCTCTCAGGAGACCAATTGCCCTGTATCCACTGTGGCTGTGAATGCCATCCCAGCAATGATAGATATTTTTAAATGCGCCAAGTAAACAAGAAATCAAATCTCATAAGAAAGAGCTAGCTCTGGAGGTATTAACCTATTGACAGATTCAGCGTTACAGCAGATCTGCCAGCTCCAGACCTAATCAAAAGTAGGAAATGGCACTGAAAAAAATAGGTATTTTAAAAAATGTTTTCCTGAACATATAAAAAGGTCCAACTGGACTACATTCATCTCAGGAGATGGATGGAAATTTTGTTCAGGACTGATCTTACCCAGGCTCAGATAAGGACTGACAAATCCAATCCACTTTAAGACCAGCTGTAAATATAAGAGTATGTGTGAAACACCACAGTAATTGACAGAAAAGAAATGCCTGGAGACAAAGAATGCATTGTCCCACACGGCCTAATTTTGGGAGAACATTTGCAAGACAATGTAAAATGCTTTAACTGTATAATTACCATTATCTGTCCCTGTGTGTGTTGGCAATGCCTGGGGTTTTTACTATAAGTCTGCTTTTGGCAGGAGCTTGTTCTGTGTATTTCTGTTAGCAGTAATATCACCATCTTTACCACAATAGTGTCTGGAGGCAATGTTTCATGTTCCCAAGTAACAGCCCATGGAAGCACCCCCATGTTACACTTGGGTATAAAATAAGAAAAACTGACAAGATCCAGTGAAATCTAAAACAATCTAGAAACCTTGGCTCCTTCCTGCCATCTCTTTCCTAGCCAAAATCAGCTCTGAATCGGATAATCATGAAAAAACAGATCTGGCTTAATCTGCAAAACCTGGACCTTGCTGTCCAAAAGGGGGCACTTCCTGAGACAAGGACCCCCTCAGCTCAAAGGAAACTTTGGGAGAGCAACAGGGAATGACAACTCCAGACAAAATACCTGCTCTTGGATTAGGAATGTAGGAAAATGCAAATGAATAGAACAAAAAAATAGATAATATCCAAAGAGGTTTTTCTTTCTTTTTAATTCAACTATCATCCAGAGCTCTTTTGAACCAAGATTCTGTCTATGCCA